TGACGTTCACTCAAATTCTTGAATCGATTTTGCTCGACAATCCTCATAAGGCATGAGGTGGTTCTCTCGGTTGGTTGTGCATCTTTTTCTTCCACTCAACTTTCTGTTAACATGCTTGGATACAGCACTCTGTGAACAGCCAGCTTCTTTGGCAATGAATGTTTGTGGCTTACCCTCCTTGTGAAGGGTGTCAATGATTGTCTTCTGGACAACTGTCAGATCAGCAGTCTTCCCCATGATTGTGTAGCTTAGTGAACCAAACTGAGAGACAATTTTGAAGGCTCAGGAAACTTTTGCAGGTGTTTTGAGTTAATTAGCTGATTGGCATGTCACCATATTCTAATTTGTTGAGATAGTGAATTGGTGGGTTTTTGTTAAATGTGAGCCAAAATCATCACAATTAAAAGAACCAAAGACTTAAACTACTTCAGTCTGTGTGCATTGAATTTATTTAATACACGAGTTTCACAATTTGAGTTGAATTACTGAAATAAACGAACTTTTCCACGACATTCTAATTTATTGAGATGCACCTGTACAGTACAGCGATAAGATTTTGATTATACCACACACTACTACTGGAAGGGGGGGGTATTTTGAGGTTCATCTTGTACTTTGTGACCTGTAGGTTTAATAGAGTTTGTGTGCACTGACACTCACCTCCATCAGTAGTCATGTCCTGTTCCAGTTTCAACTTCTCCTGTCCCACACGGAGCATGCAGGCCTCAATCGAATCTCTGCTGATGAGCTTGATCACCTGCACTGTTCTGCAATGCAAAAACATGATCAGGAACTAAATTCCCTTCTTTATGGCAATCTCCATTTCCTTTTGATTATACTAACCTGGTTTGCCCCATTCGATGACAGCGGTCCTCTGCTTGTTTATCATTGAATGGATTGCAATCAATGTCATGCAGTATAACTGTGTTTGCAGAGGCGAGGTTGATTCCCTGCCCCCCAGCCCGAGTCGACAGGAGGAAGACAAAAATCTCACGATTTGTATTGTATTTGTCGATGAGACCAATCCTAGAGAAGCCAACAGGGTTGAATTTGATTGGTTCAGTTGATCCAGATTCATATATAAAAAAAAATGTTGGGGACATTTGGGACATCATACACAAGTGTAGTGTGTACAGCGGTGTCTGAATTTATACATTTAGGCTCATATGCAAATCCATTAAATGTAGATAGTGGATATTGAAATAAAATTAACTGTCTGAATAATTAATCAATCACATTTCATTGCTTGCAAAATGACAGTGAGGACAGTCAGTCCTGAACATCAAATCTGAAAAAGAAATCTGAATTGAGTGCAGTGCAAACAAAGTGACATGAGATACTGAAGAACTTAACCAAGTCACGCCCACCTTTCCGCCATAGGAGTAGAACCATCCAGTCGAACAAACTGATGGTCAAGGTGTTTGAGCAGAATCTCCACAATGTCCAGCATCATAGTGAACTGACTGAAAAGGACAACTCTATCACCCTTGAAGAAAAACAAAGTTGTTTTAAAACACACCAGCAACAATAAAGCACACAAACTAAAGTCAAATGACTCATGAGACTGTTAAACGACATCCAGACAAACCTTTTCTTTCAGCCTGGCGAGTACTTTGGTTAAAAGTGCAAACTTTCCGGAGTCTAAAAGGAGCTCTTTCTCCAGCTCAAAACATCTGATGGAGCTGTACTGCTTACATAAATTATGCAGCTCAAAATCAGACATCACCTCCATGTCCTCCTGGATCAGCACAGGGTCGGCATCAAAATGTGTCGGCTCCTAACATAAGCAGAACCATGTCAGCTCAACAACAGTATGCAATACAGCAGTGGTTCTCAAAGGGATAGTTCATCTGTCATCATTTACTCACTCAAGTTGTTCCAAACTTGTATGAGTTTCTTTCTTCTGTTGATTTTGACAAATGTTGGTAACTAAACAGTTGCTGGTCTCGAACTGACTTCCATAGTATGTAAACGGGTGGAAAAAAACATTCTATGGAAGTAAAGTCAGTGGGGATCACAAACTATTTGGTCACCCACATACTTCAAAAACTATTTTTGTGTGTTCAGCAGAGGAAAAGAAACTCATACAAGTTTGGAACAACGTCAGGGTGAGCACATTTCACTTTCATTCTCAGAACAAATAAGTTCCCAGGGCTGGATTCATGATAAACTATTTTTTTTATTTTTTAAATGCACAGTTCAATCAGCCTCCTTTACACATTTATCTCCCAGTCCTCACCTTAAGCATGGCTTTACTCATGGCAGTCAACTTGTCACTGGTGTAGTACTGGCGGTGCAGCAACGGATGATTAGCCATCTTTCTCAGCTGCATCATCACATTGCAAAGCTCCCGCTCTGAGGACAAAGAGGAAATAGGATTTGTGGGATAGACGATCAGAGTTAGGAAAATGGTTTTCAATATTCCCACTTTGTTTTTCAGATTCTCCAGCTTAGAAGAGCCCCTGTATAATTTGTCAGACAAATATGAATACAGCATAGGAATACAAAAACACAAGAGTGCAATACTCCTAGACAGCACGTTATCTTAAAAAAATGAATAGCACATACTGTCTCCATTCGGAGCCTTTTGGAGTCTTTTGAAAAGTTTGTCATACAGCTTCTGCTGGGCATCACTCATGGGACACATTTCAATGTTCTGCACTTTTGGTGGAAGCTGTTTCAACACCTAGATAGACATTTGCAAAGTCACAATCAGGGTGGGCAAAAATATATCCTGGCCATATACTGTAGTAATTTTCACTACAGAGGACTGAATGTAGATAAATTTACTTTGGTGGATCAGTTTTTCAGCAAGATTTTCTCAGTAATGAATCAGAACAATCACAGTGAAAAAACGTATACCTCACTCTTGACTCGTCTCAGAATAAATGGCTTCATGATAAGTTTGGCCTGTGCAATTCTATCCTTGTGAAAACGGCTTTCTTCCTCTGATGACCTCTGAAACCAAGCAGATGGGCAGAAAGTGAGAGCATTTTGTCTAGGTATATTATGATTACTGTATCCTTAAATTGAATACAATTTAGATAAATTTTTGAGAGATGGCACATAAAGTATTATAATTAGAAGTAATGTGTGCACTGTCAGTACCGTTGAGAACATTTTGGAGATCTGTGAGGTGCTGCTGGAGAACATGGAGGGCATGATGAAGTTCAGGAGTGACATGAGCTCCAGCAGGTTGTTCTGTAAAGGTGTTCCTGTCAGCAACAATCTGTGCTCAGCCTGTAGATGACAGGCACAAACGTACAACCAAAAGGTATAGATAAGCACAACTTTACTACCCTTCTCTTCATTAAGAACATCCCAAACTAACCCAAAAGAGACAGAATGGCAGTGAACAGCATTTCTTTAAATGGGGGTACAATGCTGTTTTATGCATTCAGAGTTATTTACACTGTTAAAGAGTTTGGTTCTCATGCTAAGCATGGACACTTTTCAAATAACAATTTGGACGTATGACAGTATTTCTCTACTAAAAATCTTACTTCCGGGTTCGTACAAGTTTTGGAGAGTTTTTTTTTCGATCATGGCTTTTCATGACGTAAACGAGAGTGGAACTCCTTATATGGGCATTTCTCCCGGAAAAAACGCACCCGCGCGCACATCGACCAGAGCAAGAGCGAAATTGCACCCATTAACGCGCTTCATCCGGCGGCAGCTTCCTAAATAACCCAGATTTATGTAAACAGTGGATGCAGTTTGTTTTTCTGGGGCAGCAACGGAGTTTCACAAATGTGTTTGTTGACCAACGTTTTATAAACAAGGCCCAGTTCGACGCTGTATTTGCACATCGTTTGATACTGAAAGATGGAGCGGTCCCAGCTATAAAAGATCCCAGTCATGATTCAGAATTGCAGATGGTAAGTGAAACGGCATCAAATGTCTGTGTTTTGTTGGCAATCGGAGCTCAAGTGCTCGTCACTCTTTAGCTCCGCCCATGGCATGCCTCCAGGAGCTCGGCTGTTTCCGGAGAGAATCGTAAAGCTGTATCTTTCTTTTATAAATGTGATAAATTTAAGACTTTTTGGAGATATGAAGAATGCAGTACTACTCTATAGGTACTCAAGATTAACATGAGATTGGGTGAAACGGTGTGTGTTATGTCCCCTTTAAATCGTGTTTGCAATATTGTTTAAGATACAGAAGACTGCTTGTACTGACATTGATGGCCATAAGGTGGTGGTAGCGTAGAGAGTTCATATTTTTCAGCATGTGGCCCTCATCAAACACAGCATACTTCAGCCTCAGCTTGCGGAACAGACTGCGGTCATAGTAATTCCCTATTGTGAGATTGTAACTAATACAGATGAAAGCAGAAAAAAAGGAAAGGCAAATGTTAACACCAATGAATACATGTGACTTTCATAAACACAGTCAAGTACACCAATATATAAGTACTGTAAAACAATGTACTTACGTGGATACTATGATGTTGAATTCAACTAAGCCACTGAGGATGTCTTGTCGCAAGTATTTGCGGTCTTCCACAGACCCTACAAGTATAAACACAAAAGAATTGAGCAAGGAAATAAAGGAGGACATTTTGTATTAATATGTATTATTTTGCACTGGGGTTCTAAGACCACACTGACAAAATTTTTTGTTTAAAACTATTTGCCTGAAAACTAACTTACCATAGTAAATAAGAACTTTAAGACTGGGACACCAAAGACCCAGCTCACGAACCCAGTTATCTGCAAAGAGAGAAATGCATCATCTCAAGCAACACTATAGGGACAAGTTTATATGCTACACTCCCACTGAAATAAGTGTCTCTTACCCAGTGTGGATGAGGGTACGGTAATAAGATGAGGGCCCTTGATTCCTTTTTCATACAAATGAGCCAGGAAAGAGATAGCCTGAATAGTTTTACCCAGCCCCTGTGGAGAGATCAAATCACTTATAACCAGTATCTGTGATAATAGTCCTTTGCTTTAAATGAGTAGTCCAGGAATGAGTAACCTTCTTGGATTTCACGCCTTTGAACTCAATATGACAGTGACTCACCATTTCATCTGCCAGGATGCCACTCAGGTTGTGCTGATGCAGAAGAATCAGCCACTTCAAGCCAATCAGCTGATATGGCTGGAGTTTGAAACTAAGAGAAGTCAAAAACAAGAAGTAAAAAAAAAATAGCATAACTGGATATCCCAGGTGTGTATTATGAGAATAGATAAACTCACTTGCTGTTCAGGACTTTGGATTTTCTCCTCTTCTTTGGTTGATCGTTATCATCATCTTCACTATGCCCTGCTTTGCCTTTCCGTCTGCCTGAATCTGCATATATAAAACAGTTTTGATTTGAATAAGTTACAATATTGTATCTGAATTACAAATCATCTTATAATTAATTCGCACAAAAGACAGAGCATTAAAAACACAAAGAAGTCTGACAGCAGAATGCTGTGACTTACCAATATTTGTCCATGAAAATAATAAAAAATGCCTCACCGTCATCTCCATTAATCCCCAAGCAATGTGCTATAGCTCCCTCCAGCGTGCTGGTGCTTTCAACCACCTGTCACAATATACAGGATAACACAACAGGATAAAATCCACAATGTTCACCCATTAAGTTGATGTTACACCAATGAGGGGCTCATTACCTCCAGTAGATCTTTCTTGCTCTTCTGAGGGAATAGTTCCATGAGTTTGATGATTTTGTCCTCCATATCCTTGCTTATCTGATTCTTGGACTCTGATGTTGTATCTCTGTGAAATAACGGCATATTATCACTTATTACAGACTAGATAGTGAACGCTCAAATAGTTAACAACTCTCATAATGTAATCAGCAAGCTTGAAATCTCTAGAAAAAGTGTGGAGCAGCAAATGTGTCCAAGAGAAGACACATTACAGCCTCACTTCTGACAAACTCGGTCTCGCTTACTTGCTCATCCTGACAACTTTGTCATCTGCAGAAACATCCTCTAATGCATGTCTTGATGCCTTGCCTGATGCACATCGACCATCTGTCTGTCTTTGGTGGGCTGGAAACAGAACATTCAAGACTGAATCAAGAAATTTTGGCATACATCTTGTGACTACATCCTTGAAACATGACAACTGCTAATAGTATGCTGTAAAAGGGGTCTAATATAGTGGTAAACAAAAATAGAGAGCAGGTTATTTCGAAAATCAGCGTACAACCCCAAAACAAAGGTGAGAAGAGAAAAATCTTCCCAGTGGCCACCCACACTAAAAACTTGGAAATGGGCTTAAACCTACAACTACAGTACAATACAAACTCGCATTCCAACTCGTATCAACATAATCACAGATAAAAACATGCTGTCTAGGTAGAAAGCACACCAGGTTTTGAGAAACATCCATTATGAAAGCTGAACAAAGCCCCGGCTGAGAAACGGCAGTTTTTACTCACCCCGTTTATTCTCCTTATCCGAGTTGGAGCCGTCCGACGATTGAGAGTGACTGTCCGCAGCGTTGTCCCTTTGGAAACGGAACCGGTCTAGATTGAAAAAGCTCATTTCAATTTTTTTCCGTTAGGAGAAATCTCTGTCTCACGCGGCCTTACTGTTCATTCGCCAGTGATGCTCGCGCACTTGATTGTGTTCGATAACAAAAGCTTCAGGACAGCCTCATAACCCAATCGATATCTGATAAAAAAAATTAAAAAAAAATACAACACCGTACTGCGTAAGTGACTTGACTGTTAATTTAATGAAATGCTTCAGCGTTGAAGAATGACAGTGCGGTAAATTCTGAATACAGCAAATAGCACGTTCCCGCCACCGACTGGCAATGCGTCATTTCCGCTTTTGAGCCAATAACAACACAGTGGCCTTTCCCCTTTAAATTGTAAATCAGGATTATAAATATTAAACGTCACGATTTTACAGGTTCAATTATTTAAAATAGAAAGGAAAAGGTATATAAACTATACTAATGTATACTATATACTTTTGAATTAAGAATGTGGATTAAAATAATTTGGAGAAACGTTTCAAAGGCAGTAGTGCATGCACATACTCTATCTGACCGCTCTTAATATAGGCTATTGAATTTTTAGCAATATGCTAGCTTTTCAATAAGATTATGGTGACAGAGGGAATTAATTACCTTGATAATAGCAATAATTATAGAATAGATAGATAGATACTTTTACAATTCCAACATTTTGACATTGCACGACATAAATTCTACATTAACATAATCACTCCATCCATCCACTAGGTGACACACTTGTATTACAAAGCTACAGTTAAATCTCTTGCCTGTGCGTAAAAGGGCGACTCGATTGAGTCTGTTTCTGTCTAAACGAGCATAAGAATCCTTGAACAGACTGGCAACAGGTTCCCAAAACCCCTGTGAGACACTTACAAAGCTTTTGTGAGATTTTTCCCTGTTTTGTGGGAGACTGTGCACACAGATTTTTCAAACATCCCTTTTCTCTGCCATTTCTTAAACACTATTTGTTTTATTATTTTTTTTGGTAAGGTAGAAAATATTTGATTTATAAACGAA